TATTTAAAAGCCAACAATAATTAATAATGATAGGAAATTAATCGTAATGAAAAACAAAAAGATATACACCGAAGTATCGTTTAAATGACAATTTTTTTTTCTAATATAAATTCGTTGCATATATTTAAATAAATTTATTAATTTTTACTGGTAAAAGATTTCAGGAGCTAACTTTATTATGAACTTATTAATTTAAAAAACAAATAGTATTTAAGTTGTTTAGTTTACTTATTCAAATACTTCAAATTTTTTCACATTTTTTAATGCATGAAATGAAATAATTACATTCTAACGAAAATGATTGAAATAAATTGTTATGGATGAGTAATTTACATCTTTGTAATGAATAATTGAGATAAATCGATTATACTTCTTTAATTTTTATTTACATCTCTGCAAACTTTTCCATCCCTAATGATTGGTGCAAGCTTATGCTTATCAAAATACTTGAATTAACTTTATCGATCAATAATTTCTCATTTTGGGATGCATTCATAATTTCCATATTCAAATATATGTAAATGGCAGAAATGAGATAAACAGAAAACAATTTTAGAATAAATCAATTTATTTTTTGTCTAAAGTTATCATCCTTCCCTATTCAATCTGTCATCATATTTTCTATTTTTTGTTTTTCCAAATCACGAAAGTGTCAAGATATAAATTCAATTCAATTACGTTGTAAAAATAAATGAAGTGCTGATAACGATTATCGGCAAGAAAATGTTAGTAAACATATATTAATAATAATTATCAAAAAAAAAAATGTTAGTCAAATAAGTGCCACACTGATAACGATTATCAATATTTTAGAGTATTATTTAAATATATTGTGTGATTTAATAGCACATTGCATTGTCAATAATCATCATTCCTATCATTTTAATTAAGTGTTCACAGATTTAATGATTATCAGTTCCATTATGTTTCATTTTTTTTTAAGTTGATTAAATTTTGAAAAGTAAATTTTCCACTTTTTCTGGAATCAGTATTGCTGTGATCAAACTTTTTTCAAAATTTCAAATTCTTTATCATATATTTAGCAAATTATAATTTCAAAATATAAACTTTTATTTGCATAAAATTGCGAATAATTTTTGAAAAATTACTATTTATCGTATTATTTTGGTACTTCGTATAATGCTTCCTCAGAAGTACATTTTTCAACATTTCAGAATTACTAATTTGTTTTTTTTTTGAAGAGCATTATCATTATTTCAGGCTGGCAGTGAAATAGAGAAAGAAAATTGAAAAAAAAGTTAAAAATGCTTTTAAAAAATTTTGTCATAACACGTAATTCATAAAATGTATGAATAAGTCAGGTGCAATATTTTCTTTCATTTAAAAAATGAAAATAAAAATAATGAATAAGTGAATTGCTTAAACTTAACAAATTTCAGATTATTATACTAATCCACTTAATCCTTTAGCTTTAACCTAAAATTAGTATTTAATGAAAAATCGAATTTTATTAAAACAGTTCAAATTGTTCAAACAATTATGTAAATAGCACTATTCAAAAAAAAAAAAAGAAACACTATCATAAATGAAATATGCTTTGAAATAATCATTTTGTTTATCATTTTAGTGAAATTTTTAAACAGCAATATAAATTATTGCAATTTTTAAAATGTTAATAAAATTAACTGATAAATCAGTTTCTCGCAAAATTTCTCTCAGTTTTGTTTTTTATAATTTTTTATTTTCCTTGTTTCTTTTTTTTTTTTAAGTAAAATATTTACTTTGAATATTTGTTTTGAACCTTCTAAATTTTTCACTAATTCAATTTTTGCTAATTCAAATTCAATTGCAGTTGAATTCAATTCATATGCTGTGGTAAAATTGCAAAATGTAAAATCGACTACCGTGGCGGTAAAAGGCGATCAGCCTTGCTGGGAGCAAGAATTCATCTTGTGAGACCTTCTAATTTCTTATAATTTTAATAAAACTATTACATATTTAAAGATCACTTTGAAATGATCATTCAGTTTTTTTTTTTTAATATTTTAACAGATAATTTTATGCAAATTCTTATGATGTCAGTCATTAATGCTAGTAATATTAATTAGGTAACAATCAGGATGTGATTAATTCACAGAATGCATTCTCAAATGTTATCACCAACTATCAACTGATAATGATTCAATTATATAATCATTAGTAATATTGAATAAAAGAGATTAAATTTAAAACTAAAAAAAAGAAATGAACAAAATATTATTGTAGTGAAACAAATCGAATTGATGATGGTATGCTGCTTGAACTTTGGAATAAAGGTGTCCTTTGGGATAAACTTCTTGGTAAATTGTTTTTGTTTTTTTTTTTCTAATTTTTCTTTAAAAAATTTTTGCATATTCATGGGAAATTTTTTTTTTCTTATAAATAATTTACAGGAGAAATTTTAAATTTAATTACATAAAATGATATTTTGAACTGCATGTTTTCCAAGATAATTGAATTCATCAATTTATTGATAGCAGAGTAAAATGTACAATTAAATTCAGTTGTGCGAAGGAGGAGGAAGTGAAAGAAGCGAAAAAAAAAATGAATCATAAATTAAAGTTTTTTGAAAAAATTAATTATTTAAGCGAAAGATTAATGATTTCGCACAAATTGCTTTAAATTTTAATCAATTTCAAATGTCAATTAAATTTCAATAAATTAGAGTATTAAGACTTTTGATATATATTTTTCGAGATAATTTTTTTGTTTTAAACATATATATTTTTTCATTTTTTTTTTTGGGAATTTTTGTTTTTGATCTTATTTATTTCCAATTTTTATTAATTATTTTATATGCTTAATAATTGCACAAATATTATATGCATTTAATAATGCGTACAAAGCATTTTCTTCAAATCGTAAAGATGTGAAGAAAATGCTTCGTGTTTATTTAATTTCAATAATTACTAACTTTTTTTGTTTAAATTAATGGCCATTTACCTTAATTTATTGACTTGTTTATTTGCATTGTCTTGTACAGAGGTAATTAATGATAGACTTTTGTTAATTAATTCATTTGTTAATTATTCTTAATTCGGTACATTAATTATAGGTGTGCATTATTTAACATTAACATCGGTGCAATATAGCAATGAGGCAGGACCCGGTAAATGGTTACAAATTGACCAGGAACTGGAAACTCGAAATGGTCAAACGGTTGGAACGTGTCGTCCAACCGGACATTCCATTCTCGTTGATGTACGCTTCGAATTACCATATGGTTCGTATTAATACAGCAGTAGCTTTTTTTTTTTTAACTTTAATATTTTATTGGTAATTAAAGTATACTTTTTAAAATATAACATGTTTACGGTGTACGTAACCTTAACTTTATTTGTAATAGGTGCATTTTTTTTTCAGCAACTCTTAATAAAATTAGTCGATTTATTAGGATTAGTTCCAATTGATATAATTCATAGTTATATTTTTGCTAAAGGTACCCCAAAAAAAAAAAGTCCATTATTTTTCTGTTAATTCAAATTAAGAATACAGATCATAATGACTGGTATAGAGTAATTAATTAATCATGAGATATTTCTCTTGATAATATCAATCTTAAATTAAATTCTAAATTTCATTTTTTTGATTCTATTGTTGGATAATTAAATAATACAATGCGAATATATTATAATGCAAGCGTGTTTTGCAAATACTCAAAAATTTGGATAATAATTTAACAGTTGATAAAATGTAAAAAATTCATTGATGATAGAGTGGTAAGGATGATTAATTGATTAATGATAACAGTTGTCAATAATTATAATTCGAAATGCAATATTTCAACTTCATTTTTTTGCAATTTATTTTTTGTTTCTATATTTGGAGCATTATTTGAGGAAGGAAAAAAGAAAAAAAAAGGAATATTAATGGCTTTAAAAATTGCATTTTTTTTTTTGATTAGCTTACAACATACAACACTGATCCATTCCATCGAATTGAATGATAGCTTTTCATCTTATCATTGGCAAATATATCCTCCACCGTGCTTCGCTTCCTATTTTATTCGCTGTTAAATTATTTATAAAAATTTTACCAAAAATAGCTAAATATGTAAATTAAACTATAATTGTTATTGCATGTTGTATAACCAATTCTTTCTTCTGCATTTCGCTTTCCATTTTATTTCCGAGAATTTACGAACTCTTACCGAAATAGCTAAATATTTGAATTTAATTGTAATTGTAATTATATTCTAAATGATACAGTAAGCTTGATATAATTGATTAACCATGGTAAATTGTTGTTTAACAAATAAAGCGAATTCATTACAGATGCACAAGGTGCTAATGCGGAAGAGTTACAAGCAAAGTTGCAAGAATTGAGTCGTCTCATCGAAATTGGTGTTAGTTTTCGAACTTTTCTAAGTTTAATTTTAATTGTTTAAATTTCTTTCAAAAAAAAAAACCAAGGAAAACATGGATTTAAATTAAAAAAGATACTGATGAAAATTTGCCCCCAATCAATTCATTATAATGCATCCACTATTAATTTTAAACGTAAATACGAATTATTTGTCGCTTATATAAGTATATAATTTCTTTTGACATGCAATATTTTAAAGTTTAAGGTTTTGTTTCTAAATAGCAGGGAAGACATTTTATATGCAAGTGTTTACATATATAGTAAAAATGAAATAGAAATAATTAAGTATGTATATAAAGTTTTTATTTCATTCCATCAAACTTTTCCTTTGAAAACATTTTTGCTAATGGAATATTTGTTTAAACGATATAAAAAGAAAAAAAAAATGAGTCACACTTGATTTTGGAAAAAAAAGAAAAGAAAATGTATTGACGTAAGTGCAGTGTGATAACTTTTTTTTTTTGCTTACAAATAAATAATTAATGGTTTGAAACCGATTATAGCATTTAACATAAGCATGATTTTAACTTTTTCTTATATTTTATAAAATTCTCTAATAATTGTTTGTTCATTTCTTTTTTTTTTTTTGATTTTTCAATCTTTAATTTTCTTCTATTTGTGCTACAAATGTAATATTAGCACATGCATACTATACACGGTATAATTTAAATGAAATTTAAAAAACTTAACTTTTTCATACGTCTAAATAAATACACTAAATAAATTTTGTAAACAAAAAAAAAAATGAGAGGAGGAGTGAAATTTAATAAAAAGAACGCAAATAAATAAGAAAGAATCAAATAAAAAAAAATGAAATAAATTAAATGATTTGCTCCTTTTCAAATTTCTCTTCTTTTTTCGTCATAAAATTTCTTTCAAAAAAAGAAAACGACACAAAAACAAACAAACAAAAATGTACTTTTGCAATTTTTTTTCTCTCTTTTTTTGATTGTTTGAAAAAATAAAAATTGAATCAAACAATCATTCATTTTAGACGATAGCAAAATTTGTCAATTTTAAAGGAACAAATGACAATGTAAAAAGAAAAAAAAGAAAAATGAAAGATAAATAAAAATGCTTTCCAATTTTTATTTTATTCTCATCGTTTTCAATATCATTTCCGTTTCATATCAGAAATTTTATTATTTATGGAACAATTTAAAATGAAAATGTAAAACATGCATATATATATATTTTTTTTTGTATAGGTTATTGCCAATACATATTTTTATTCTTTATTATCCAATCCATAAATGAATAGTTTACAATTAGATGATTGATTGATTGATTGATTGATTGATGGCTGATTATAGAAATTTCGCTTTCTGTTATCATTGAAATGAGTTACAACATTGTGTGATGATAGCGCCAAATAGTAAATGAAAAAAGAAAGTAAGATTAAATTATTTTACAAAAATAAAAAGTTTGCTTTATTTTTTAAGATGGGCGGATTTTTCGTATGAATTATTAAAAATTTTCAACTATTCAATTGTTGAGCTAGAAATGTAATCAAATTTGGAAATCGAATTCCAATCTTAAAATGATATTCTAAAACTGATTATTTTATATTAAATCATTGCTATTTAATTGGCTTTTCCTTTTTTTCCTTTTCCATTTCGAAAATGTCAACATGCATTTCAAAATAATTCCATTATAAAATATTGACATTTTAAAAATGAAAAAAAAGAACGAATATTTCTACCATGAAATTTTAATAATTTCAAAACATTTTCATCATTTTTTAAAATCGCGAATTAAACAAAAATAATTGACGCAAAAATGAATGTAAGAATAAAGTGATTGGATATAAACGTATATTGTATGCAAGCAACTCCATTAGCTCATTCAAATGCTCTTAATTTTTCTTTCTTTTTTTCATCCCAAAATAAAAAAATTTTGAAAATCATTTTTCTGAAAATGAAAAATAAAAAAAAATTTTTGAAAATTGTCTGAAAAACTATTATTATTATTATTATTTTGTCGATCGTTTAGTTAATGTTTGTTTCCTTTTTTCTTATTTGTTTTTATTCCAAAAATGCTTCAATAATTTGAAAAAAATAAATTCTTTTTTTGTATTATTTCTGCAAAATTTTTGAGGAAAAAATTTTCGTGCGCATTTTTTGCATTATTTTTTGTATTATTTAACATTTTCTTACAAATTATTCATTTCACTAACGATTATTTTAACATTTTCCTTTTTTTTTTTGTTAGTTTTAATTTACACAGAAGCAAAAAGAATGAAAAAATTGAATTATTCGATAATCTGTTAGTTGTTAGCGAAAGAAATAGGTGACAAATAATTTATTTGCAACTTAGATGTCTATTGACCGGAAATTAAATTGATTAAAATAGAATTCTTCATTGATAAGTATAAAGTGAGTAATTCACCGTACATACATCATTAGCTAAATTCATCATTATAGTACATGAAAAGACTGAAAATAAAATTTAACAATCATATTTTTTCAATTCTAAAGAATGCATTCAATCAATAATTTAATTTGAATTGCAAAATTACATCAAAATGTAGAAAATAATCAAGTAAAAATAACATTATACTGTGAAAATATTTCTTATTTCATGAATAATTTGTTAAATATTTAAACAAATGAAATACATTTACGAATCAAAGATTTATTTATTGTTCTTTTATTTTTTTTTTTTCATTTAGACAAACTTCATATGGTTGATTATGATGAAAAATGAAAAATTATAATTCAGATGATGATAATGATCGGAAGATGATTGATGACTGCCAATTATAATCTTTAATCGTGATAACAACTAATCGTTATTTTCTTTTAGTTTTATCATTGCATTTATTGAATTTTCATCCATTTTATCATTAAATTTTATTTCAGGATCGGTGGCAAGAACAACGTGCTCCTTTAATACGTTGTAAGTATGGATTATTCAAATTTATTTTCATTGAAAAATTGAACTGAAATAAAAAAAATGAAATTTTAGTTTATACAAAAAATAAAAGATTTATTATGTGTAGAGGATAGAGATAGAGACAGAAAGAGGAAGAAAGAGGAAGAGGGAGAGAGAGAGAGATCAAACTTATTATGTTTATTTTTTCTTTTCGTTCTTTTTTTTCTTTTATTTTCAACGATTTGAAAACGATGATGGCATTTGATGTCTTTTCAATTATTAAACTCAAAATTCTTCCTCTTTCTGCTATATTTACTTTTAAAACCAATTATAGTATGCAGTAAATCTTGAAAATATTGAAATTAATAGCAAAACAAACAAGTGAATAACTAATCATTGAATAGTAGATTTGAATAAATTTTTCGTTTTAAATTTCAAACAAAAATTTTACATTTTTTTCTGTTTTTCTCCTCCTAAATACTAAAATATTTTGACGAAATCGAAATTTTTTTCTTCACAAAAAAAAAGAAAATTTTCGATTTATTTCAATCCAAGAAAAGAATAAACAATCTATCAGACATTTATCAAAAAAAAAAAATTCATTAATTTCATGCTACTGTACTTTAGATTTTTCGTTTCCATCTTTTTAGACCGTTTTAGCTGAAATATTAAAGCTGTTTTTTTTTTGTTTGTTTTGTTTTGTTTTACTTTATTTTTTTATTTTTTTTTTGCTTCGATCATAGAAAAGGAATTTAAGATCAAACAGTTGTCGCGAATGATAAATTCATGAATTAATTAGAATTTAACAAAATTCAAATTTCACACGCTTTTTTGTTTTAAATTCCAAATGCATTATCAGTGAAAATTAAATACTGATTTTTCAACTACTATATTTAAATGTTAATTGAAGTAATTCAGTGAAAGAAATGTTTTTGGTGAAGACAATTGAATTAGATAATACCTTACGAAATTTGAATTCATTGAGGTAAATGTTAATTTTTCATTGCTTCGTTGAGATTTTTTTGAGATTAATGAGAGTGCTGCTTGCTATCAACTCCCTATTATTATCAGTTGTTATGAGGAAAAAATGAACTGATCAATGAACTAATTATGCTACTTGCAATTTGTTTTTTCCTACAATAATGTGATTTATTATAAACTTCGAAATAATTTCTTTACTTTTTTTTTTTCGAACCAACAAATTTGTCTTCTTTTTTTTTTTGAATTTTCAGCTTTTATACTAACATTTTAAAGTTTTTCCACTAATAAATTATTGATGTACCGGAAGGAAAAAAACAGCTTCTATGGAAAAACATAGAGCAATCCTAAAATTGGTTAAATTTATTTTTTGCTTTAAAATAATAGATCTGAAATATCGGTGACTTCAATAACATCATTTAATGTATTTTGTAATTTTAGCTTAAATTTTGACCAAATAAAAAAAAAGGGACAGAATAATGAAAAAGAAGCAAAAATGAAGATTAATTTTGCATGTTTAAGTGACAATTAATACGACTAATTTTACATTTTTCTACATTTAAAACGCTAAAATGTTATTATCTTATTTAATTACAAGCCTATTTGCATATTAGTCATTTTTTTTAGTATTTAATTTTGATTTGATTTCTGTCATTTCCTATTCGTTAATTTCAGTTTTTGATTTCAGTTATTTTCTGTTTTCATTTATATGTTTTGTGTGTTTAATGTTTTTTTTTTTTTATATTTTAAGTTTACTGTTATTCTTTTCTTCTTTTTTTTAAAATGAACAGATTTTATTATTTAAACATTAACTTTTGCATCTTCGGTTCTTCCATTTTGTTATTGCAAACTTTTTTTGGCTTTCGCACATTTGCACTGCTAATAGAAATCATTCTTGAAAATGATTTTTTTCAAAATTGATAATATATTTTTGCTCTTTGATTGAATTTTTTCACGAAATAATTGAATTTTCTACAGAGTGTTAATTTAGCATTATTCTTTTAGTCAGTTTTTGTGAGCTTAAGTTTAACTTCTAAAAAAATTTGAATTGAATTGATAGTACAAATTTTTTTATCGTAGTAATTAAGTGTATTACGGGAAAATTTTTAAAAATTTTAATATTTTAAAATCGTTTCACTTCTTTTTTTCTTTCAGTAATTTGGTTTATGT